ATATAATATTAATATGCACACATGTACAATTCATACATAAATAATTTTATAAGGTTATGTAACATATAAAACCTAAAACGCAGTTTTTATGATTTATTATTTTTTTATAATTATTATTATATGACTATTATGCATTCGAATAGCCGATTACTTACTGTGATTTATTATTTATTATATTATAAATTATTAATAGTGTATGTCTTAACTAATAAGTATTAAGTAATAACTTACTATAACCAATACCAAATACTATATTATATGTGCTATTAAAGTATTAACTATTATTATTAATCATTACTACTATCATTCGTATTATCATATTTTCATATTTACAGTGTTACCCGGAGCTCTAGACACAGCGTTAATTAAATATTAAAAAACACGGCAGAGTCTTTAATGAGATATAATTATAATATTTAATTTACAACTCAAATATTAATATGATATTGATATGATAATCTTATGCTATATGGGTATAGTCACCCTCAGCTAAATGTTTAAGCAAATTCAATTCCTCGATTACTCTTCTACGTTTTGTAGATTTACTCATAAAATTATTACGATGCATTATAATTACTAATTATATTCAACAATAGGTAATTAAAATATAATATAGTTCCTTACAGTATACCTACCAAAAATATATCGATATAGGTAGGTACTTAAGTCAGAATTTAACTATCATAATTTACAATACTTGCCTACAATTCGTCGGTAGTTTTAACTTTTATTATATTCCAATAATCCAATGCACACAGCTCACGTCGCATATAATATATATAATAGAATATATTATATTATTAATCAGGCACTCGATAAACACAGTTTTCAAATAAAATAATAGTGAAATGAACTCAGAAATGAAGCTCTTAGCACGCGCTGACCAACGTTTCACCACTACAGACACAGTAGAAAAAATATGTTTGCACACAATATTATTATGAAAGCCGCAGGCTAACATATTATATAATAGATAGGTAATAGCTGTAATTTCCAGTCAAATTTATTTTTAGATATTGACTACTTATAATTTATATAATATAGTGCTAGTAAATTATAAAGTAATAATATATATAATAATAATTATTATTATATTTTGTATACAAAAAATAGTTATAACACTGATGTTCCTAGAACAATATCTTTGACATGATAATTATAAAATATCTTGAAGTTGATATCTAGCGTTTATCAAAGCAATATTATATATTTATTATTATTTAATATCTGGGGTAATAAATATCACTTTAATGAAAGTTACTAAACATTACTATGATATTACTCAACAATTATTCCATATATAAATGGGCATAGTACATAATTGAATATTCCTAATTCTACATAATAATAATATAATAACCATTTGAGTGGAGGTGCATTGTCATCCCGAATTAGAACGACCGTTCCAACTTCGAGTTTAGGTCCACTAGAAGTCATCAATTTTGTTCTTTCTTGGAGCTGCGAAAGGTAATCCCTTGTCCACCGGGCCCATAGTTGTTGTGTGAATTGAACAACTCGTCGCCACCTTGACAGCCGATTTGTCGGGACATCCCTTTCATTGCGGTCGGGTAGCAAATTTAGCGCGTCACCAACAAGAAAGTGTCCGGGGGGTGAGAATGGATAAGTCGGAAGGATGTGAGGATAAAGGAGTTAAAGGCCGTGAGTTTAAAATTGCTTCTACACGTATCAATATGGTATTTAATTCCTAAAAAGGTGAGTGAGGCATTGCCTAACGTCCGATGTAAATGCGATTTTAGCGACTTCACAGCCGCCTTCCAAAGGCCGCCGAAATGCGGAGATCGCGGCGGTATAAAGCGCCATTGAATACTAGATTAGTAAACCTTGTTACTTAGGTGAAACGATTTTGAAAAATCAAAATATGAAATTGCGAGTTTTGGAAAAATGAAAAACTTATTCTAGGGTAGAATTACATGTTGAGCATTATAACCTCTGTGATAAATTGTCGTTGGACCACCAGGTGACCAATAAAACGCGAATGAAATTTGAAAAGTTTGAAAAAAAGAAAATTCCCGTTAACGAACTGGTTTCCGGGGAAATGTGAGAGATATAGGACGAAAGTAGTAAGACATAAAATTGATCCCCACAACTATCTACTACATTAGATGTGTGTATTTTATTTTTTCATTTAAAAGTCATTAAGGATTTTTCAATGTTTATCGACCATTATATGAAATTTCGTTTGCCGCATGATGCCCGTATATTTTTTTTGGATCCTAACTGTCATAAGGCTTTACCGTATTTGCTCATTGCTGATTATCAATTTTTATAATTTTGGTTTTTTGGGGAAGTCGGCGTCATTTGATTGTTACCGGTTTAGAGTCCGTACGACTACAGGTTGGGGCGTTATTTAAGATTTGTATACCTCGTTATTTAGGTCGAACGATTTTGAAAAATCAAAATTTGAAATAACGAGTTTTGAAACATTGAAAAACTTATTCTGGTGTATACTTACAGGTATAGAGGGTATAACTGTTTTACAGGAAAACCGTGATAGATGGGTCGAAAGTCATTAGACATAAAATTGATCCCCATAACTATCTACATAAGTTTTATGCATTTGATTTTATGAAAAATGTGATCTTATTAAGTGTAAGTTATAAAGAATTGTATGGTATTATTTATAATAGACATTATAGTTTGATATTTATATGATCAACATAATTTAAATAATATTTATAATAATAAGAGGGTTTATATGTGAGAAATAAGTTAAAAATTACGTACATACTGAAATTAGATTGATATAGTATAATTTGTACATTCATAGTATTTGTGACTTTTGTGTACATCCACACTATCATTTTTTTTTAATTATCATTTTTGCATTTCCTTAAAAACCAATTGATCAAAGAAGTAAATTATGTTGAAGTAAGAAAAAACAGGTCTTTGATGTAGAAATTGATGTATAAATATTTTTATTTTTTCTATGTTATATTGTACTAAGCTATATAGCTTATTAAAAGATTACATCTATTTTAGATTCTGGACGAAGTGATG